TGTTTCCTTACATTTTGGCCTAAAAGGGTAGCATGTATGTTTGATCATCTTGAGCCTTATTTCAGAAGTTTTTTGGATGTTTTAGGTCATATGTAACCTCTGTTTTTGTCCGGATTTGTGCCTCCATATATGCTTGTAGTACTTGCTTTGCATTGCTCCATTTGCTTGGAAGTGCACCTCATGATTAGGCCAGATTCTTGCATGTGTTGGCTTAGTTCTATGAAGTTGTTTAGCATTGTTTTCCCATGCTTAAAGTCTGTTGGTTATCAATTTGGTCATGTTTGACATGTTTGTTAGGGTTGCTTTGCATTTTGGCTTGAAAGCTTTGAGCATGTTGACCCCTAGCATGCATGGTTGTGATCATCCTCATGATTTGGCATCATTTAGGACCACATTTCAGTCCAAGAATCATGTTTGTATGTGTGCATGTATGATCTCTTTTATGCCTTGAGGGTGTGCCCTCTTATGCCTAGAAATGAGTCTTGGTGGTAGCATTTCATGGGAGGCATTTTGCTGCCATATTAGGAGGCTTTGGAGTCCCATTTTGCATGTAAAAATTCTGTCTTTACTTGTCTTAGTCATGCCATGAGTGGTCATGTTGGTGGGAGTGAAATGCCTCCCCTTGTGCCTTAACCTTAGGACCATTACCTTGTTTGTTACATGACTATTTGTCCACCTTTTAGACACCTTTCGCCCACTGTTTTGGGGTAGATCAAGGTCTGTCCCTTTATGGTTCAAGGTCCCATTGCATGCTTGTTTCATGTTTGTTGCATGGTTGCTTCATTAAGCCTTGTAGTATATTAATCCCATTGTCAAATTGGTCCATGTTTGCACCACATTTGCACCTTGTATGCTTAGCATTGCATATTTGTCATGATAGTTGCATAACATTTGCTATGTCTTGGAATAATTGGTATCATGTTGCATTTGAGCCATGTTTGCATAACTGCATTGCATTACTTGGTTTGGGGTGTCAAACCCAGTGTGAGAATCAAGGAACATTCATACTACAAGTGATGTAATGTGCCCTTGATTCTCGGTCACCGAGGCCTTTGACTCCGACTTGATAAGGCTTTGGTTCTCATTTTGTTTGTTGCATGCATCCTTACATCAAGTGGCAAATTTGATCCCTTGGGCTATCATGCACCATTGATGGCTCGAGGATCGAAGGTCATGCTTCCTTGAGTTCAAAGCATGATAGAAGCATGACCATGCTCACATTGCCTGAAAACCCCATGCCATGCACTGTCTGTTCTCTGTTTGCTGTCAAAACTGTCTTCTGCAGGAAGTTTCTGCCGACCGGCAGAATTAAGTGCCGGCCGGCAATCTTTGAATGGCCGGTAAATCAAAATAATGCCGATGGAAATCCTGGACTGCCGGTGGGAATTCTGCCTGGCCGGTGGTGCTCTGCAACATGCAAGGAACCTGTTCTGGAGTTTTGGCGATTTTCAGAGAGACAGGGCAGTACAAGTAGAGGTGGCAGGGGTACGGTACGGGTTTTTGGGCGAGCCGAGTTCCGAGCATGCATCATTTGCGCCTCCCGAGGCAGAGGCTGGGCCACCCTCTTCTTTCTTTTGCATCCTTTCTTTTAATTAATTAGAAATTCTGTATTAATTTTATTTGCTTATTATTTGGGACTGTAATATTTATTTGTACCCTCCGAGTGAGGGCAATTATGTAATAAGTGTGCGTGAGTTGGTGTATGTCTTCCAACCTCACGTCTTTCTTCCTTTTTATTTACCTGCTTATGATGGTAGATTAGGGCACGTTTAATTTAGCATACCTTATGTTATGCATGCGTGCATTCATGCATTTGTACTGCATGATTAGGCTCGGTACATCAGCTAACCGCGTTTGTACTTCAATTTACAAATCGAATATGTGATAATTGATCGCATTACATATGCCATGCTTAGGTCAACCGAGCCTATCTAAATTGCATCCTGTATGTTTGCATTAGGCAATTTAACATGAACTAGGACACGCACGTTTTGCTAACTAGTTTACTGTTTTGGCATGGAGTACGATGTAAGTATTTATGCTTTAGCATCTCGCATGTGTGTGAATGTTAACATGACAGTATGCTTGCCATGCGGCTAGTTGCTTACGTGATATTACTGCTTGAATGCCTATGGATGGAGGTAGAATTGCTTAAATTAGGATAACACATTAAAACTGTGAATTTTAAAACCCACTAGATAGTGGCAAAACCATCTTTTCTAAAAGCCCACTTGAGGGTGGCAAAACCTGCATTTTAGCCTACTTGCGAGTAGCAAACCATTTTCAAAACAAACATGAAATGTTTTGTTCCAATTTAGGCGATTTGGTCTATACTTGTTTGCTGTACGCATAACATATAATTCTAGGCTAATAACCAAAATAAGAACACATAAACGTTTTCAAACAGAATATCACGGTTAGTAGAGGCCGGTCTTTGGACCGGGCGAGAGGGGGTGCTCATAGCTGACCTTCCCCGATCGTACCCAAGTTCCCGAGCCGAGGCAACTTTGGTGCAACTGGAAAGTTGCCCCTAGTCTGAGTAGCACTGTACAGGGGATTCCATTTGCATCGTAATAATCAGGTAGTGAATCGACTTACAACTCGATAAGCAAATGTACAAAGGCATAATAGGACCAAACAAGCGTGAGTTACAACTCGATAAACAAATCAAGAGTTCAAAGAAGGTGAAATACAACTCAATAAGCAAATGCATAATAACTTGTCAATGTCAAGTTCGGAGATCCTGAGGCAGGGCGCGCGAGCCGAGACTTCCGGGAACTCCAAACGAACACAAACATGGATAATCACCGAGTGTTCCAAGCGGTGACGTCCAAGTCTTGAGGACGGTCAAAAATGGGGTGTCTACAGCTAGTTAGAATTGTCAATGGCAAATATTTTTCACAGGGGCAGCTCAGTGTATGAACCTCCTGCCACTTTAGGGTCTAGAAAGGGTCAGATATAAGCAGTTTTGCCCCTGTATGCAAAGAGGCAGTTAAGATTGTTGCTTTTGATATTCAAAAGCGGCATTGGGCTAAGGCCATTGAGGCCTGTGCCTTAGGCTTCAAAAAATTGGTTGAAAATTGGGCCTCTAAATTTAGAAAAGTATTATAGTATATTATAGCTAAAAATAGGCCCAAATTATTTTTGTTGTTTTAGGGCCAATCTAAAGGACTCAAAAATATAATGTTGGGCCCATATTTGTTTATAAGTGTGGTTTGGCCTAATTGAAATTAAAATATATAGAAAATGTTGGTAGCCCTTGAATGAGAAACACTACATACACATACAAAATGCTGGTGGCCCAAAATAGGCCCCATAATTTTTTCTTTTTTACCTTATTTGTTTATCAGAGTTTAGTGGAACAAATAAATTTGCCTTAATTTTTTTTTTTACCTTCTTTGTTTATCAAATTTTACTGGAATAAACAATTAATTCAATCTCAATCACACTCATACACAATATATTCAATAAACAACAATGCAACCACACTTATAAACAATATATTCAATAAACAACAATTAATTCAATACATTTTAATTGAATAAAGTTTTCCTAATTTTGTTAACTTTTTTTTTTCTTTTTTGTATGAATACATTTTGATATATATTTTTGTATCAATTAACGGTAGTGAAACCAAACAGGGTGATTTTTTTTTCTTTGTGAATATAGGCTTCTGTTTTTGTTTTGCCTTAGACTCCCGAAAACTCAGAGCTGACCCTGTTGATATTCAATGTAGTTTAACAAAAGATGTTTGTAGAGATTTAACGAAAAAATATCAAAAAAATGTTTTGAGGCAACAATATGATTTCATTGTTTTTCTCCCCTCCTATCTTATCCTTGTGTTTGAGCATTTGCATGTGTGCACGTAGAGAGAAAGAAAGAGAGAGGTGACAACTTTTTACAAAAATAGCAATTAATTGGCAACCAAATTATTTTTTATGGATGTGAAAATTTATTACACTATATCAGCATTAACAAAGCAAAAGGCCAACCAGTCTGTAATGTGTATACAAGAACCTGTTTGCATAAGCACCATGCTAGCTATTATTGATCTATTAGTACCCCAAAAAAAAAAAAGGGCATTTTGGAATATGGTTCTGCCTAGATATAGAAATATTCAACTCAAATGGATAGCTATATAACCATTAAATTTTGTCTACACTTGTGTGGAAAGTGAAGTCCTATACCATCAAAACATCATTTTTAGCTTACATTTAGTCCAATAATCAGATTGATTATGTTGGGAAATTAATCTTCAAACCACTCATGAGGAAATACTTTGCAGCAACAATGTGACAGGTAGAGCAACTTACATGCGCAAATCATATTTCCTATTTTCAGTTTTTTTCTTTTTCGTGATCACATGCAATTCTCCCAATTGGTTTTCATCTGTCTTTTTTCGAAATTGTTGAGTTGGTTCCTTTAGTCTTCAAATGACAACTTACTTCGAGGCTCGACCTTTTTCTGAAAACACATAAAGAGAAGAATATGAATAAGTCATCCTCATCTGCCAACAATTAAAACATAGCATAACATTATGTGATGATTTCAAAAGACATCTAAAAATATTTTTTTAAAAATTAAAAGCGAGTTGTTTTTATGTTTTCGTTAACATAAAAAGTTCAAAAACACCACTACTTTCTTTTTTGTCTGCAAAATGTCTGTCTTGAAAATTGAGTTGTTTTCAACAAAAATAAAAATCAAAACAAGTTTTTCATAACATGAGTGCACATACAAAAAATGAAAATACAACCAAACATGCCCATATGATTTAGAACTACCTTAGAATAGTTGAGCCAACTGAATAAGACCAATTAGTATAAGAAACTGCAAAAAAATAGAAAAATAGAAGCAGAAATAGCCGTCTTTGGTCCCAATTATTTTATTACAGACATTCTTAAATCATAAAACATCTGCATGACACGATCTTCGTTTCACTCGACATGCATGCAAGTAAGATTGTCAATCAAAGTGCAAGGATCTCAGTGATTACATGCAAACTACATATGACTAATTAAAGTAGATGATGCAGTCCACACAAGATTATCGGATGGGAAGAAATGGCAAACTGGGGAGGACCCTGGCTCAACTCCCAGTACTTGAAATGACACATGACCCGGGCTCCATTGAGAGGTATCCATGTGACAAACAACAACCGCTTTAAGCCTGTCTCCATTTTCACCCCCCCAAAAGACCTTAAGGCCCCGTTTGTTTCCAGAGATAGAATGGAGGGGATTAATAGTGAGGGGATTGATAGTGAGGGGATTAGTAGTGAGGGGATTGATAGTGAGGGGAATAGTAGTGAGGAATTATTAAATTATTTTTATATAAAATAATAAAACAAATAAAAAAATATAAAAAATTAAAAATTATATTTTAAAAAAATTTTCCCATATATAAAAAATAAAAAAAATAAAAAAATTTCTAATCCCCTCACTATTTTTCTAATACCATCTCTACCTCCTCCTTATTAATCCCCTCTCCAAGGGTATTAGTAATACCAAGGGACTAATAGTCCCAAGGCCTTCTCCCAAAACAAACAAGGCTATTACTAATACCTTGGTATTAGCAATCCCAATACCCTCTCTTTCACCCAAAACAAACGGGGCCTAAAGACCTTGCTTTTGCTCTCTCGGTAATAACAATAGAAAATTGCATATGGGTGAGGCATGGTATGACATGCAACCATCTTGGGACCAGAAATTTCTAGAGTATCTTCTAGGATAGTGTAATTTTGAAGAATGGAGGTTGATTCTGTGAAGTGGATAGTTGATACAACTTTGAATTCGCTCACTAATCCGAACATGGCACGTACGAAATCAAGCATAGATTCTAATGATGTGGCACATGTTTTTGACCTGCCTTTGATAGGTTTGACCTCACATTGTCTAAGTGTGCTTTCCATGGCTTGGGCTTGTGGAGAGCCTTGAGGGAAGGAAAAGATTCGAAGAAGATTTGGAAGTTGTTCTAGTGATAAAGAAATGTAATTGGATTCCTCTTTGGGTAGGAAATGAGGAGAGGAAGAAGAGTCTCTTTGGGAAGCAATGGGAATTGTTTTTCCTACCTTTGGGTCTTCCAAAAAGAAGAACACAATTAGTGAAGGGTCTATGTGATCCATGTGTGATGATGAATGATCATGAATATGATCTATATGTATCTCATTATGAGCATGAGCATGAGCATGATCGTCTTGGTTATCAATCATGGGATATTTTAAAGCATTCATCACATTCATCACATCGACCAAATCATCTTTGGGAATCATCTTCATGGCTCGAATTCCATGAGAGCTCTGCAAATATAAGAACTAGCATTTTGTTAAAGTTCTACGTAAGCATGATATGGAAAAAGAGGCAAAGAAAACATCCAATGCTAGAATGTTTCTTCAAACTTCGATGATAAACTGAAAATAAGTAGCGTAAATTCTTAATGTAATGAAATAATTTAAACTTCCATGTGTTCTGAAATCCCTCTAACAACAGAAATAGCAACTACTAAACCAAATGATACATGCATATTCCTATCAAGATTACGTTCATAAGAGATCTGACTGGAATTTTACTTGTCCAGCTCCCAAACACACAACCCTCCTTATCTAGGCTTGGTATAACAGTTAAAATACTATGTGAAAAATCTAGAAATCCCCTAGATATTGATTTGTGATTATGTATCAATTTTAAGCAGTAAATAACAATCCCAATCAAATAATCAAGAAAAATCAACACAACGATTTTAACGTGAAAAAACCATAATTAGAGCTCTTCTAATTGTGATAAAAAACCACGGGCCAAAGCCACAAAATAATCCACTAAGAAGACGAAAGGAATTACACAAGCGTACTCTCAATTACCTAGTGTAGCTCGACTTTTTCGCGCCCCCCTTTCAGAGAGCTTGAATTGGTCCTACAGTTCGAACTCCTGTCACGGTTCTGAATCTAATCTCACAAAGTGCAATGTGAGACTGATAAACACCAAAGAGTCTAATTCGGCAAATCATTTTGGAAAATCAGATTTTGAATCAAATAATGCCAAAACTAGACTGCTTTGCCAGATTACAGAGTCGCCACCTAAATATTTTATTTTTGGGAAATTTAGGAAACCCTGACTCGTTCCAAAGGCCACGTGTCCATCATCACCAAAGTTGCCTCGATTTGGGAACTTGGGTATGAGAGGGGAAGGTCCTGAAATGAGCACCCCCGCTCGCCCGATGAAAGATTGGCCTCTACTAAACATGATATGTTGTTTGATAAACACGTGTTCTTATTCCAGTTATTTAGCTAACCTTACTATGTGACGCACAAATATAGACTAAGTTGCAAGACTTGGAACAAATCAACTCATGTTTGTTTTTGAAAATGATTTGAAAATTGCCACCCTCAGGTGGGCTAAAACGTGGATTTGCCACCTCAAGTGGGCTTAAAACATGATTTGCCACTTCGCAAAGTGGGCTTAAAACTCACAATCATCGAATTGTTCCAATTCAAGCAACAAATCCTTCATCCACAGGCATTCATGTAGTTTAGCATTTAAGCAAATAGCCTCATGGCAAGCATGCGAAACATGGCAACACTCACACTCATGCAAGTATGCTAAAGCATAAAGACTCACCGAGTACTCCGAGCCAAAACAAAAGCTAGTTAGAAATATGCATGATCCTAACTATACAAAATGCCTAATGCAACACATGCAATAATGCAATAAGATAGTCTCGACTACCCAATCATGGCATATGATATAATTTGATAACATGCTTATAAACACGTATTCAAGTAAGTATTGAATTGACAATGCAGTTTGAATGATGCGCCGAGCCTCGGTGCATGCAAGACAAATGAATGATGCAAACATGCAAGCATAAGGCATGCTAATTGAAAATGATCCCTAATCTAACCATTGAAAGCGGATAAATAAAAGGGAGAAAGACGTGGAGTTGGAAGACATGCACACACGCACGTAAACTTATGCAACATTGTGCTCTTGCGAAGGAGGGTCCGAATAAATAAGCTAAGCTATACTAAGCTAAGCTAATTAATACAAAACGAACTAATTAACTATTCTAGCTAATTAATTACAACAAACCGAATTGAACTTATTAATTAAAACACTTGAATTGAACAATTAGTTATGCTAACTAACTAGAGCAATTTAAATAAAGCAAGTAAATGGCCTCGGAGGCGAGGGAGACATGCATGCTCGGTTGGCTTCTTCCCAAAAATCCATCGCCTTGCCATCGGTTGCCTCTGTTTGCACTTGCTATGATCTCTAAACATTGTACCAACTTCCAGAATGCCTCTGCTCCAACACAGGAACACTTTGCACAAAAATTGACTGGTGGCCGGTTGGCCACAAAAAGTGGCTGTCGGCCACCTTAAGTGGCCAGTCGGCTAGTTTAAGTGGCCGATCAGCTACCTTAGGTGGCCGGTCGGCAACCCTTTTTTCCAGACTTCTGTTTTTGCTACAATAGAGAGCAACAGAGGCAAAACAATGCATTTTTCAAGGGATGTGTGTACTGCCACCCTCCTCATCATTTCTCAAGTTCAAAGGAGTGTAGCACTTGGCTCTCAAGCCACCAACCAAGCATTTTCAATGCATGATGGCTTGAAACCAAGCTTGTACAAGCTTAATGAATGCACAAATAAGACTCGAAGGACCACCACCCTATCATGCATGATCAAGGGTGATGGTGACCAAGAAACGTGACACGTTTCATCACTTTGAGTATGAAACGTCCCACATTTCTTGTGTTTGGATTAACGTCTGATCCAAACACAAGCAATGCAACACAACATGCTTAACTTGCTCAAGTTTTACTTGTCATGTTTTGTTTACACATTTTATATTACCAAATCATTCTTTAACCAATTAAGTCCAAGGTGAGTGTCCTCTAATGAGAGAGGGGTCAACCACAAGATGACTTAATACATGAGAGAGATCATGCCGTTGGTTAGTAGAAACCCTCAAAAGAGGATTAAAACCATTGAGTACAAGCTCTATCTCAAGCTTAAACACAACCTCAAGGTTAACCAACCCTCAAAACAAATGGAAAAGTGAAGAAATGAGGGAGGTTGCAGATATTTCAGTGCTGAAATGGTATGAAAAATGATACTACAACATGCAAGCAACTCATGCACAACATGTTCAAAAGTCAAAAACACTAAACTAGTGATGAGCACTACACTAGAGGCATGCAATACCAAGCTCAACTGAGCAAACCAGCTCAAAAAAGAGAAAAAACATGCCAAACTAGTGGCTAAAACATGCTGAGATTGAAGCATAAAAGACTAGAAAAACATGCTCACATGTTAGCTTGCAAACGAGACTCAAAACACAACTCTCAAAAGCAATGAAAGAGTGAAATAAATGAGCATGTGATAGAGCTATAAACACTGAAATTACATGTTAAATGACACTACAACATGCAATCATCTCAAGCAAAACATGTTTAGAGGCCTAAAACACTAAACTAGTGAAGGCATTTGCACTATGACTATACAAAACATGGTTCATATGATCAAAGCAGCCCAAAACAGAGCTAAATCATGCCAAATCAGAGCCTAAAACATGCCTGAATTAAGCTAGTTTAAGCCATAAAAACATGCTACCATAGGATGCTAACTAGGCATAGAAGTGAGACACAAGGAGGGGAGGCTACCCCCTCTATTTTTGGACTTCAAAACATACTTTTTACCACTGAAATAACTCTGAATTTCAGTGGTTTAAAGGGCCAAAAGGTTTGGTTTGAATATGCTAAAAGATGATGCAAAAAGCTTCACAATTAGGCAACAAGAAGGGTAGACAACCCCTTTGCACAAAATGATCTCAAACCAACATGTTAAGGCACAAAAATCAAAGTTTTTTGTAGTTGAAAACTAGGCCAAAAATAGTATAAAAAGATGGCAATTCAAGCAACTAAAACAAAGCTTACAAGGTAACTCTTATACCTCTTGAAGCACAACACTAAACAGGGCCAAATTCCAGCTCAAACCAACCTTAAGAGCTCAAACTAGGCCTCAAAGAACCTCAGCTCCAAGAAGAGGATGTTTGGTTAAGGGTCTTTTTGCAAAAGTGTAGAGAATTTCCACTTTCAAGCACAAAATAGAGAGAGAGAGAGAATTCTGGAGAGAGAGAGAGAGAGGAAATTCTCACAAAATATCCAACCTCTTCAAATGGGGGAGAGACCCCCCATTATATAGAAATCCAAGCCAAAGGCTTGCATCCATCCCTCCATACACGTATATGGAGATGGCATTCAGTGATCAACAGTTGGCATAGCTGGCAAAGAAAATATCTGAAAAAGGAGAAAAATGGCCGTCGGCCACCTCACCTAGCCTACTGACCACTTCAAGTGGCCGACAAGGCCCTTCCCCCCTCCAGGCAAGAGGCACCAAGGTTTGGTCCAAAAACAAGCACAAAACAAAAAGGGTTTAGAGGCTCAAAGACAAGGCGTTCCGTCGAGAACTTCGGACACACAAAGCGAGCACAATCATCGAGTGCACAAACGATGACATCTAAGTCTTAAGGTCGGTCAAAAATGGGGTGTCTACACCTAGCAAATCCACGCCCGAATTGAATCGACCCCTATATGCCTCTTCCACCACAGTCTTCTCCTCGGAATTGTCTCGCCTAGTGTTGAATCCATTACGTCGATGTCGAATCCATGACAATGAGCCATTCTAGAATCCATCAAAGCTTCAGGCCCAAATTCCACAGAATCTACTGAAGAACAACTCTCTCTTTTGCATTGAACAAATAAAACAAACAAACCCTTTGATATAATCCACTCAATTTATGATTAAACTCTCATAGATATCAAAGGAAACAAGCAAAGAAGCCCCAGATGAAAACCCTAATACCCAAGAAGAAGATCTGGGAGCGGTACCCTAAAATTGAATTGAAACACATATTTATAAAAAAATAGATCTGCGATCTCTGCTCGAGTGCAAGAATGGATACTCGAGCGGATCTATGCTCAAGCGCAGGAATGGCCGCTCGAGCGGGAAAAAACAAATCCCATTACTTTTGCAGGTGAGTGAAACTTCTGAAAGGTCGCGATCTCCGCTTGAGCGCAAGAATGGCCGCTCGATCCGACAAACAACTTCGACTGTAATTTTTCTTTTTGTTTCGGGGGCGCTACCCCCTCGACCCTCGCGAACTGACTGGGCAGCTTGATCCCTGACATAGTCAGTGAAGTGGCAAACATGAAAGAATTAACTTCTGAAACATCTCTGCAAGGCACAATTCGAGTTGGATTCATATCTAAAAACACATAGCCTCATTGAAATAAAGATGAACAAAATTACAACTGAAAGGAGTTTTGTCAAACGGGATAGCCAAGAATAAAAACCTAACACTATGGATTGAATAACAACAATAACTACCAGTACTATTATCATTTCCTTTCATGAAGATAAAAGGAATCCCAACTTTCACACGAAAATTTCGACCAAAATACCAAGAAGAGCAAGAACAAGAACATAAATAACGATGACGAAAACAACAACAATAACAATTACCTCGTCAAACCATACTCACATATTGTTATTAGGAATTATGTTCACAAGGGTTTTATGAGAATTTTTACGTGCTATTAGGGTATGTAACACACAACCTTCTTCCTTATTCGCGTTTGGAACTGACAGTGTAAAAGATTATTAAAAAAAAAAAAAGTTAACAACAACTACTTCATGATGCGACTACTGCTACAATAACAACATCGTCGTCGTTGTGATTTGCATTGTTAAAAAAGGCTTTATTTTCTCAGCTTATTTTTTATGAAACTTATTTTTTCAGATGGATATAGACATGTATAGCTTAGATATTACCATCACAAGAAGTAGATAAAGCAAGACGCTCCAAGAAGTGTATCAAATGGCCACCTTTTCTTCTTTCCCTTAAGCTCTTCTCAGTTTCTTCTTCTAGAAACAAAGCATTAGGAAGCCAGCTAATTCAACATGGACAAAGCATGCAGATCCAATTTGCAAAATGACTTCTCCATCAAGGAGATTTTTTTTTTATTATAAAATACACGGAAATCTTTTTGATTATTCAAGAAAAAAAAATTAAAAATTAGAAAATACTTTTATAAATTCACTATCCTGATTTCTTTATCCTTTCATTTTCATACTACATTTGAGAACATGTTATCTGAAAATTATTATATATAATGCATTTTTCCTTGTTCTGTCCCTTTCTGTTTATGTTTATGTCTCCCTTTTCAGTAGAAAAATGTTCTACATATTTTCATTCAGTACAAAAAAAAAAAATTAAAAAAAAAAAATTAAAGTAAACATGTCACACCCCAAATCCAAGCATGACCAGTCATGGCCCATAAGGACTTAGCCCAAGGCACGCGTAAGCCTAAACATGAACCCAAAATCACAAAGAATAAATGTGACGATAGCCTAGAAATAAATAAATCAAAACCCAATCGAGTGACAAGTCACAAGTATAAATGGTAAAACCAACCATAACCAACTTCCAAAATATATACTAAATGGAACACAAACCGCCTACAAAAGGAAATAATTCTAAATAAAATCCAACCACAATATCTGCACAAAACCGACATAACAAGCTAAAACAAAATAATGAATGTCCTAGAGGTCCATGCAATTGAGACCCCGCTACGCCATGCGTCCACTCTAAATCCTTCTAACACCTGGAAGTGATAAACAACTAAGTCAGTTGATAGCTCAGTGAGTAGTAACATGGATAGTAAATACAGTTTTTGAAAACAGGGTTCAATTCCAAAATAAGATATATATCACAGAAATTAGATTGAAATATAGTTTTGATAAAGATAATCTATTTCAAAAACACGGTTCCACAGTTAAAATACTCATATCTCTCAAGAACATGATAAATGACATTTTCCACTTAAAATAGATTACAACATGAACACCAATAATTTTCTGGGTACCAAGAATAACAAGTAACATGCTACAAAGTTTTCAAGGCAATAAGCCCATTGGATCCAATATCGAACCAAGAGTTATCCTCGAGGTGGCAACTTGGGCCTTTTCTCTAAGACGATCCAATTGAAGGTCACTTAGCCTAGCCTAGCCTAGGCCTTTTCCTTATAATTGTTGAGCACTAGAGTCATCACGGCCCAACCCGAATCTGTTCCCTAGTGGCCAGAGTCACTACACACAGTGGAATAATTTCTCTGGACTAAAATATACAGATGATCCCGATAATCAATACAATTCAATTTCGCAAAACATGGTAGTTCACCATTATAAACATGAGACCATAAATAATAGTTTACAGTATGCCAAGTTTACACATGTTTCGGAAATAATTTAATTCCATTGATAATATAATAATTTATCAAAACAGTTTAGTCATAAAATAACAATTTCATTTTCTAACAGCTCAGGGTAGGGGAACATTTATAAAAATATGTAGCATGCAACTACTCACCTGAAAACGAAATAATGCAATCCTCGAATAGAGTATAAAACTCTAACTAGTGCCCTGAACCAAGTATGAAAACTACACGTCACTACTAATTCAAACATACTAAAAGGAATGATAAACTAAGTAACCCCAAACTAAAGCGCACTAACACGGCTCAACCCGACTCACCGTTACTCTTAAATATTACCTAACCTCATGTTCTTCAAGGTCTAAAATCACCCGAGACATGGGTTCAAATCGAAACTTAATTAAAACTAACATTAAGATAAAATAGAATTTTAAATAAGCTTTCCCAATTTATTCGTTAACTTTGAAAATTACAAAACGCACCGCACACTGTTCAAAAAATTCCAAAACCCTCTAGATATCAACTAATTTGTCCTAGGTTTCAAACCCAATTGGTTTTACTTGACTTGCTTATCAAAATAATTATTTACAATTAATATTATCCAAATAGGTCGCTTCCTGCAGCACTTTAAAGAAATTAATGGTTCTCTTAGTATATACAAGAAATCAACACAAGGCCAAAAATTTAAGAAACTAGACTCGTAACTGGTTCTAATGACGTTAATTTGATAATTTTCGGATTTATACCCAAAGAGAACGATACTTTCGGAGTTACTATTTTATACCAGTTTTCTGGACAGATTTGAACGCACTAGTTAATATAGATTTTGACTCCCAATTCAATATGTAATTAATCTACTGTAAAAATTTCATTCAAAATTCATCCGTTTGAACTAAGAATTACACCCATTATTTCTCATCACTAACCACTGACTTGGCACCCAAACTACACACCCGTTTCTCTTATTCCTTCCCAACAACAAACAGATTACACACATAAACCATCACAATAAATAGATATAATAAAATAGGACAGTACCTTAGAGTTGTTGACCCCCAATGTTTCTAAAAGTTTCTCTCAAATATCTCTCTCTCTCTCTCTCTCTCCTACGGCTGCTGCTAACTTGTGATGAACAAATAAGAAGGTAGGGTTTGTGTATATTTTATTTAATACTAGTGGTTGGGCAGACCCAAAGCATGTGTAGGTCAAATAAATAAATAAATATACAATATATATATATATATATAAGTTATATGCAACTCAAATGGGAAGAGCCTTATTTAATAATTTTGTGGTCTAGAGTTCAAGTCACACCCTCTTCTCTATTTTTTTTTATTTTTATTTTTATAATAAATCTTGCCTCTAAATTAAAGACTTTCACCCTAAATTTATTTTAGGTTTAAAATTAATTAAAAGACCCTTCAATAATATTTAGTTTGCACTTAAAGATTCACAAGCAAAATATTTGAGATTGTAAAATAATTACTACTTAATTATTTATTTGATTTGTCTATTCGGGTTCTCACATTCTCCCCCCGCTAAAAGAAAAGTTTCGTCCTCGAAACTAACTTGAGTAAATCATGAGAATAGATGTGGGTACTTCTCGCGCATCTCGTCATTGCGTTCCCAAGTCGCTTCTTCAACTAGATGATTACACCACAGTACCTTAACCAATTTAATGGCCTTTGTACGCAACATTTTCTCTTTCGAATCCAATATCTGAATAGGCATCTCCTCATACGAAAAATCCTCTCTAATCTAAAGGGGCTCATAATCTATCACATACAACGAATTGTGCACATGTTTCCTTAACATAGACATGTGAAACACATTATGCACTCCTGCCAACCTAAGGGGTAGAGCAACATGGTACGCAACCTCACCAATCTTCTCCAATACCTCAAATGGTCCGATGTATCTAGGACTCAACTTTCCTTTCTTTCCAAACCTGGTGACTCCTTTCCATTGTGATACTTTCAAGAATACCATATCCCCCACATGAAACTCTAAATCTTTTCTACAATGATTAGCATAATTTTTTTTGTCTACTCTGAGCAATCAATAATCTCTCTCCGATGGTGACAATTTTCTGCATAGCATCCTCCACCCAGTCAGCTCCCAACAATTGCCTTTCACCAACCTCATACCAACACACAGGAGACCTACACTTTCTCCCATACAAAGCCTCATAAGGAGCTACACCCAAACTAGAATGATAACTATTATTATACGCAAACTCCATGAGCGGTAAATAATCATCCCAATTACCTCTCCACTCCAAAGCATAATCCCTCAACATATCCTCAAGGGTTTGAATAGTCCTCTCCGATTGCCCATCTGTCTGAGGGTGATAAGCTGAACTAAAATTTAATCGAGTACCCATAGTTGACTGTAATGCACCCCAAAACTTAGACACAAAACGAGGGTCCTGATCTGACACTATTGACACAGGTGCACCATGCAATCTGACAATCTCCTTCACATACAACTGTGCAAATCGAGCTAGAGAATAGTTCATTCATACTGCAATAAAATGTGCTGACTTGGTTAATCTATCAACAACTACCCAAACTACATTGTGATTACTATTAGTACGAGGTAATCCTCGCACGAAGTCCATGGTAATATGATCCCACTTCCACTCTGGTATAGGTAAGAGTTGTAGCTTCCCCATGAGTTTCTGATGTTCTACTTTAACCTGTTGACACATCAAACACTTAGCCACAAATTTTGTAATATCTCCCTTCATACCATTCCACCAAAAATGTTCATGAAGATCCCAATACATCTTAGTGCTTCCAAGATGAATGTTGTAACTAGAACTATGTGCCTCTGTCATAATCTCTTTCCTCAAATCACCACTAGCAGGAACACAAATTTGGCTACGGAATCTAAGCAACCCATCATTACTAACCACAAAGTCTACATGCTTACCCTCTGCCATCTCTCCTTTAATACACTCACACTGGTGGTCAATCTCTTGAACTAAACGAATTCGTTCTCTCAAGGTCGGCTGAACTGTCAATGGACTATAATAAGCCCTATCACCAGGCATAACAACCTCAAGCCTCAAACGTCTCATGTCTTCCACCAAATAACTCTCAATAGATAAAGCAACCATATCTCCAACTGCGACCTTCCTACTCAAGGCATCTGCCACCTTATTTGCCTTCCCCAAATGATACAAAATATTCACATCATAATCTTTTAGCAACTCAAGCCATCTTCTTTGCCTCAAATTTAGTTCCTTCTGTGTGAAAATATACTTCAAACTCTTATGATCAGTGTAAACCTCACATGACTCTCCATACAAATAATGTTGCCAGATGTTAAGAGCAAAAATCACTATTGCTAACTCCAAGTCGTGCGAAGGAGAATTTCTCTCATGTACTTTCAATTGTCGTGACGCGTAAATAATCACCTTCCTATGCTTCATGAGCACACATCCTAAACCCTATCGTGAAGCATCACTATAAATCAGAAAGCCACCCCCATCTGCTGGTAAGGCAAGGATTGGAGTTGATGTCAATCGCTGTTTAAACTCTTGGAAGCTACGCTCACAATCATCATTCCACTCAAACTTTACCCCTTTCCTAGTGAGATTGGTAAGCGGCAAAGCAATGCGGGAGAATCCTTCCACAAACCGTCTGTAATATCCAGCAAGCCCTAGAAAGCTGCAGACCTCTGTCACAGAAGTAGGTCGTGGTCAATCAACGATTGCTGCCACCTTCGTGCTATCCACAGATACCTCATCTTTACTCACCACATGACCCAAAAAGGATACATTGCTCAACCAGAATTCACACTTCTTAAATTTTGCATACAGTCTCTTCTCCCTAAGGATCTGCAGTACTACCCTCAAATGCTGCTCATGCTCCTTACTCCTCGAATAAATTAGGATGTCATCAATAAACACTACCACAAATTTATCTAGCTGGGGTTTAAATATTCTATTCATCAAATCCATGAATGCGGCTGGTGCATTTGTGAGATCAAAAGACATCACCAAGAACTTAAAATGCCTATAACGGGTTCTAAAAGCTGTCTTAGAACATCTTCATCCATCACCTTCAACTGGTGATAGCTTGACCTCAAGTCAATCTTAGAGAATACCTAAGCTCCCTGCAATTGGTCAAATAGGTGTTCAATACGTGGCAAAGGATACCTATTCTTCGTTATGACTTTGTTCAGTTCTTGATAATCAATACAAAACCTCATAGACCAATCATTCTTCTTCACAAACGACATAGGTGCTCCCCAAGGTGAAACTCTATGCCTGATAAAACCTGTCTAGTAACTCCTGTAATTGAGTTTGTAACTCCCTCAACTCCAATGGTGCCATTCTATAGGGCGCTTTAGAGATAGGAGCTGCATTGGAGACCAAATCAATGAAAAATTCTACCTCACCATTTGGAGAAAGTCTAGGTAGATCCTCTGGAAAACATTAACACATTCACTCACTACAGGTAACTCCTCTAACTTCTCTCATGGCTGTTCGATACTAACCACACAAGCTAAGTAACCTTGATACCCTTTCCTTAACATTCGGTTAGCCAGAAAGGAAGAGATAAAATAGATAGAAGACCCTTTCTTATCTCCTTGAAACAAAAACTCATGTTGTCTTGGCATAGCAAAAACTACCCTCTTTCTAAAACAATCAATAGAGGCATGATGCTTCGTCAACCAATCCATCCCCAAAATCACGTCAAAATTCTTCATCTCTAAAGAACCCCTGGAAAAATCCTACCATCCATCTCTACCTCACGAGATCTACAGACATCCCTCAACACTACTGTTACTCCGAATGAAGTAGACACAGTAATACATTTATCCAAAGGCTCACAAGGAATAGCCAAACAATATTTAGGTGCCAACCTTCAAAATGCAATCAAGTAAAGCTCAACAAAAGCTTAAATAAAACTAACTTAACCATACACTACTAAGGACTCTAGGGACTCGGACCTTGTCTAAATGATGAAATGCAAGATATGTAACTCGATAAACTACAGCTCTGATACCACAATTGTTGTAATGCCCCAAAAAAAGACATCAACCCAGTCACTATATACATGCATTGATACAAAAGAATTCAACCACTTCTATTTATCACAGTGTTTCTTACAACAGTATTACATGTTAACAACAAAAGCAAATGCCCTATGGGCTTACAACTTTCCAAGCTAACACTTGGTTACAAAAAAGTAGAGTACTAACTCTATACAAAATAAGCCCTCGGCTTGATGTACATGTAATACAAACAAATAAACAAAAGAATCTTCAACTCTCATCATCACCCAAGCTATGTCCTTGGAGGTGGCATGCTACCTGTACCTGAAAATAATGTCCCATATAAGGTGAGCCAACGCCCAGTAGAGATATGCTGAACACAGTATGAGCAATAACTAAGACATCAGCAATTGATAAATGTTCAGTTCCCATAAATCAATTTATAACACATTCCCATTACATGACCACAATGTCCATGTTTCATTTCATTTTCCATTTCTTATCAATTCCGCAATTTACATTAACGGCTCAGAGCCTAGTCATTCACTTATATGAGACCGTGACTCATATTAAACATTTCCCATTCTACAATAGATAAACATATTAGTTGTATCAACATCTCAACAGATAAGCATACAAGCTGTATCCACATTTCAACAGATAAGCATACGAGCTGTATCAACACTTCCAAAGATAAGCATATGAGCTGTATCATCACTTCCATAGATAAGCATATGAGCTGTATCATCACATTATCTGACAAGCATATGAGCTGTATCAGTGGAGTCCATCCCCTATCTCCTCCCAAACAACATCCGGTTTAGAGGTCCATCCCCTATCTTCCCCTAAACCGTGGAGTACATCCCCAATCAATACATAACATTAATGTATTCTATCAACCGTCATACTCTATGACATATTACAGCAGTTGGCCCTCTCGACGGAGAGTCCGAATAAGAAGCTAACTAGCTAATCTAAGTTAATTAAATTAATTATTACATCACAAAAATAATTAACTAACAAGCTAACTAATTAAGTACAAAACAAAGCTAATTAACTGACAAGTTAACTAACTAGCTATTACAACACAAATAAGAAGCTAAACGCATTAACTACTTAAATACAGAACCAAAGCATAAACTAGCTAAGGAAAGCAGTAAAGAGAGGTCCTCGG